CGCCATCGAGGGCGCCTCGGCATCGAGGAGCCGCGCACCGAGGAGCGGGGGAGCACCGGGGGAGCCCTCAGCTCCACCAGGCTCCTGGCGCGCCTGGGCCTCCGGAGAGGCCGGCGCGCAGGCCCTCGGGTCAAGTGGGGTCTCTCCCCCTACAGTAGGAATGTTCAAAAACGTAGTCACATTCTTATGGGGACTAGCTGTTGGAGCATTTGTTGACCATTCTGGAGCATGTTTGAAACATGTTTTCTTTTTCGTCGAAGATCCCCCTGTAGGGGGACACGCCGGGCTTACGAACCAGGCTCTCGGCGCGCCTGGGCCTCCGGAGAGGCTGGCGCGCCGGGGCCCTCGGGGGAGAGGGCCCCCCCCGCGGGGCAGCCTCCATCGCTCCGGGCTCCGCGGGGCCAGGCGGCGTGCCTCCTGCGCGCGCAGCCCCTCCGTGCGCGCGGGGGGAGCTCCTCGGCCTCGCTCGGGCCGGACGAAAGGGGTGGATTGGGAAAGGGGGGTTACGAAATTTGCTGCATGCAGCTGGTTTCGGCCCCACCGAGTGGCCCATTCCTCGATAAATAGCCGCTTTCGGCGCAGGGACGCGGGGAAAATCAGCTACGTGACCTGATTCTAAAACCCCCCCTTTGCTATCCACCCCCTTTCGCCCGACCCGACTTGCCGCCCTGCGGCGCGGCAGCCGCACGCGCGGGCGCTCTCTCGGGGACGATCGGCATGGGTACGGGACGGAAGGGTACGATGCCCAGCAGTCCGAGGCGGGAATTTCTACATGACCACCGCCTGGAGGGTCAGTTTTCGGAGCCTCGGCGGGCGGTGGATAAAGACGTATTCGGGCCCCCCGGGGCCGAGATATATCCATATCCACTGCCCGCTGGGGCACCAGGACGTCGGTTCCCAGGTATGGATAAATCCCCGCCTCGCAAACAGCAGATCCTGTTCATTTTGAAGAGGACTCGCTGTCCGCCCCGCCGCGGTCGTTGCTCCTTGCAGACAGAAAGCCGCCCGCCGAACAGCGGCCGCTGTCGGTGTCGGGCGCCCAAACTCCCCCCCCCTTTCCCGGGAAGTGTGGCGAGCTGCCTGGTCTGTGGTTGGCCCAAAGTCAGCGGGCGAAAAGCGGTGTGAAAGAAACAATTCCGCCGTCGGGGACGCCTGCCCCCTGGGCGGCTGGAAAGTTTGTACCCGACAGCGAAATTGTGTATCTCATACCGTTCTTCGCCCGTTAACAAAAAGGGGTTCCAGCGATGAGGGGGTGGGGCAATAGATTGGATGCAGTCGATCTTTGTGGGTGCAGTAGATTCGGGGTGTGCGCAATACCTTCCAGTGCGCGAGTGTACTGCTGGCTTTCCTCGGGCAATGCGTCAGTTGCATCACAAGGCTCTGGCGCAGTACATTTGCAGTACTGTGGGGGCGTTGGTTAAGGAACTTGCACGGGAGGCTTCAGACCCTGGAGGGTTCCTTCTCTCACCAGGGCGGCGACAACATCCACGACCTGGGAGGAGATGCGACGGCAGGCGGTCACCGCAGGGTCGAGACGCAGGTGGCCAGGGAGTTGGCGGCATTGAGGCAGGGCAGCAACCTCACCAGGATCTTCGGCGCAGGGATGAGGCAGGCCAAGATCCAGAGGGCAGGCCCCACCGCAAAGGCCCTGTGGGGCTCGGCCATCAACGGAGTCCCGCCTGGGCGCATGAGGGCGCTCAGGGTATCGGCGGCGAAAGCCGCCTGCAACCTGCCGACGGGCGCGGCGCTGACCTTTTGCTTGCAGTGCGCCCCCCAGGGCTGGAGGCAGGATCCGCTGGTGATTGCGGCGGGCCTGGCAGTCCAGGCGTTCGTTTCCATGTGCTGGTCTGGACAGGCCTCCCCTGCCGCTGTGCAGGCTTGCCTCAGGGACAGCAGGCGACTGGCCTCGCTGCAGAGGCCGTGGGCAGCGGTGCGCGACCCCGTCTCGGCGCTGGTGCTCACGCTGGGGCGGGTCGGCTGGGGCCTCAGCGCTGGCGGACGGGTCCTGACCGACAGGGCGGGCAGAGAGTTTGAGGTCTCGAGGTTCTCGCCCGCCTTCCTCGCCGCCAAGGTCAAGGAGGACACGCGTCAGGCGGCGTCGCTCGAGGAGTACGCCAGCAGGCCCGAGACCTTCTGGCAGTGGCGACTGCCGCCGTGGTGGACGCCGATCAACCAGCTACTTGGCGCCAAGGAATCGGAAACCTGGACGGCTCACCACAAAGGCTGTTTGAGACGCCTGGCGTCCTTGGCCAGCTGCCCCCAGGCCCGACTGGCAAGGCATGGGCGAGAGATCGACCCGCTGTGCAGACTCTGCGGCGCCGCCCCTGGGACGATGCACCATAGGCACCACGAGCATGGGCGCCCTGGAGGCGGGACTACTGCCCGTACCAGGTGAGAAAGGCAGCGGAGCAGGTCCACCGCATGGGGCCCCCCTTCGAAGAGCTCTTCAGCCAGGGGCTCTTCGCCGACATCAGCCTCCTCGTTGCCAGGCCAGCTTGGGATGACAGCTGGGCGTGGAGATCCCGCGGGTGGGGGGACGGCAGCTTGGTGGTGCCAGACGGGTCCTTCGTGTTCACCGACGGCTCGTGCCTGAATGGGGACTTCCCGCACGTCAGGAGCGCGGGGTGGGCCGTCATCGTGCGCGGGCCCGAAGGAAGGCTCCTCGCCGAGGCATGGGGAGCCGTGCCCCCCAGCGACCTCCCGTCGCAGACGGCCAAGGCAGGGGAGGACTACGCCGCCGCCATCGGCCTCGCCGACATCATCGGGAACTACACGCTGCTCAGCGACTGCCTGAGCACGGTGAAGGCGGCCTCCAACCTGACCAAGGCCTGCGGCCCCAGCTCCCTGCACGCCCACGTGCGGGCCAGGGTCGTTGATGCAGCGGAGGGCGTAAACATACGCCACGTGCCAGCCCGCCGCTCCGAAGCCGCGGTGAGTGACGGGGAGCTCACCCTCTTCGAGCTCTTGGGCAACAGGCGCGCCGACACCAGGGCAAAGGAAGGAGCAGCCTTCCACGCCATCGCTGAGCAGGACGCCCTGATGTTGGAGGGTGGCCAGGTGCGCGGCGGCCCTGGAGGTGCACATCACCGAGTCGGGGCTCAGGGATGCCTGGCCGCTCACCTCTTTGGACCTCGTGGACCTGGACCCCTTCGTCTCGACGCCCGACCTGGCGCAGCTGCTGGAGGCCGAGGAGTCGGCGGCCCGCGGCTCTGGCGGCTCGGAGGCCGCGGGGGCAGCCGCGGCGCTGGCGGCGGCAGCTGCGGCCAGCCAGGGAGCCCAGGCCCAGGAGAAGGTCGACACGAAGGTCCACATGAGGGAGGAGGCAGGCGACGGGCCCGCCAGGCCCAGTGAGCCAGCAGCAGACGCGTCGAGCGCGTCGGCGGCCTTGTTTCGTGCTGTCCAGCGCAGACGCGCGGACGAGGCGCAGGGGGCAACGACCTCGGCCGCAGGCGCTCTGAACCCGCCCGCGTCGGCTGGATCGAACCCCTCGCCCACTCCTTCCGCTGGGGCCTCCCCTGCCGCTGTGGCTGCCGACCCCCCTCTGAGTGCCCCCTCGGGCCCTGCTGGCCAGGTTGGGTCCCCAGGGCCTCGCTTGGTGTCCCCTGACCCTGGCGAGTCGGGGGTTTGGGAGGTCAACGGCCACCGGCTTAGGGAATCCCGCGTTTCTGGCAGTGATGACCCTGTGTTTCTGGTCTGTGTGGCGTGCTGGATGTATTGCATGAAACCTCAGCACTCCCACCGAGGCCTTGCCGAGGCCTGTGGCGGGGCCAACAAGGGCTCCAGGGCGCAGGCGCGTAATGATTTCGCGAAATCGCTTCTGCCAAAACTCAAGCAGCCGATTGACAAGTTGGCTCGGTCCACAGAGGCCACTCGTGCCAGGTGGGCCGAGGCGCTTGGCACGGCTGCGGGCACTGAGGACAGGGAGGACCTTGGGGCCCCTGCTGACTCACGAGCCCCCGCAGTGGAGCCCCTCGAGGTGCGGGAACAGGCACCCGCCCCGCCTGCCCCTGCGAGGCTGTTCCGCCCAGGGCTTGAGGGAGTCCTGGGCTCCTTTGGCTTTGCCAGCGCTGCTGAGGCTCAGGAGCGTGGCAGGGCCGCCAGAGTGGCCAGGATCGTGGACCCCAGGCCTGTGGTCGGGCAGTGCGCGGAGTGACGGTTGCCGCGCTTCGGGGTCTGGTCCTGGCGGGCTGCGGGCTCGCGCAAGCACTGTTTGCGGGGCCGTAAGTCGGCTTCTGAATTTGTCGTTGCATGAAAAGCCCCAGGGTGATAGGATACAAAAAAAAATGCCCCCACCGCGCGGGCCCGTGAGCGCTCCTGGGTTGAGGCTGCAGGAGGGCGGTCCGCTTGGCCCTTTCCAGAAGGGGGATCGAGGGCTTTCGGGGTGACGCCCGGCCGGTCTCCCCAGGGCTGGAAGGCGGCCTTCCTTCCCATCTGTAGAACTGGAGGCTCGCACGGGTTTCGGCCCTCGAAGAGTTTTGTTTTATGCCCCCCACCGCACACTTGTCCCAAATCTATTGCGCCACCTGCATTGTCGTTTCCTGCGTCCGTTTCCACACACATGGTGAGGAAGACAACGGCTTTCAAGTGCAACCGGCATTCGCGTTACGACGGTGGTTCTTGAATCTTGCGGTCCGCTCCCATCTTCTCCATCAAAATTGTCCCAAATATATTGCACCACCCCTCCTCCGCTGGACCCCGTCGTGGATCACGGGGGCGGGTCCTCCACCCGAGTTCTCGGGGGGCCTCCGCCGCCCAGGGAAGGGGGGCTCCCGGAGAGCTCCCCCGGAGAGCTCCAGGAGGAATATCCAGAAATAGTTTCAAAAATAATATGGGGACTATTTTCGAATATGTTCATATATATGTGTACATATGCGTTGTACTTGTACGGAAATCTCGGCACGCGTTTCGGTGAAGGCCGCTCGTCCTGAGGTCCTCGTTTGCCTCTGGTCTCATCCGTCAACACGGTGGCTCAAAGCAAAGCAGGGCGTCGGGCCTCTCGCATGGCTGGGCCCTTCGCCGTGCGAGTCCTGGAGTGGGCGGGCGGCGTGGCGGGCGCCTACCTGTCGCGGTGCCCCGCCTGCCCCGCGGTGCCCGACTGCCACTGCGCGGCGTGCCCGGCTTGCCCGGCACTGGCTTCGTGCTCGTGCCCGCCGTGCCCGGCGTGCCCGGGCTGCCCGGGCGGGACCGCCGCGCCGGCAGCGCCGGCCTGGCCCCCGCCGGAGAGCCAGAGCTGCCCCGCGCCGACGGAGGTCGAGCGCGGCGGCGCTCCGGCCTGGGGCGGGCTGGGGCCAGGGTGGTGGCTGGTGTTCGGCGTGCTGCTTGGGTGCCTCCTCGGCGTGCTCGGCCAGGCGGTGGTGCGCGGGGGGCTGAGCTGCGCCAGGCGGCTGACGAAGGGCGAGGATGGCAGCGGCGGCGCCGAGGGCGAGGGACTGGGCCTTCGTCCTGTACGCCGACGACGAGCACTTGTGGCACCAGAGGCTGATCCTGGGGCTCGTGGGGTTGTCGGATTCTAGCTACGTCATCCTGACCCCCGACGGCGACGTCTACGCGGAGGACTACGGGGACGACAGCGTGGATGTGGCCGCCGTCCGCTTCTCCGGGGCGTGGGCCGCGGTGCCCGCTGGGGTGCCTCCTGAGCGGGTGTACCGCTTCAGGCAGCAGCCGACAGCTCAGGAGCGGGCGCGGGCGCTGGCTGACGCCCAGGCCGAGGCCCAGGCCGAGTGCCAGCGGATCGCCGGCGCTCGGGGCGATCCGGGGCTGCTGGCGAACCTCGTCTTCCTGCGGCCGCTGCCGGTGCCGGGCGGGGCTGCGGCTGCGCCGCGCGCTCCTCGCATCGGGCCTCTGCAGGGGGCTGCGCCAGGCGCTGCCGCGGGGGCTCCTGTCGCCGAGTGGCGCGCGGCGATGGCGGCCGGGCCCTCCCGGTACGGCGACGTCGTGGCTGACCACGCGCGGAGCGGGCTGGCCGTCGGCAAGCGTGCATCCACATTCTCCCGGATGGCGTCGGGATCTTCGTCGAGCACGTGGACCCGGCCGACGAGGCCGAGTTCTTCGATCGGGCGGTCGCGACGGATGCGCGGATCACACCGATCCGCCGCAACCGCCAGGACAGGCGGGAGCGGACCTGGGCGGAGATGACGGCCGTGCTGAAGCAGGAGAGCTTCGGTGCCGACTGGCAGCTGCCGGGGCCGCGCTCCAGCTTGTGGTGCATAGAGTTCATCAACCAGGAGGGGAGTGGACTGCTGGGCCACCACGAGCGTTTCAAGACGGCCTGCCGCCTCGACTGGAACTCGTGGGGGGTCTTCGAGCATTTCAACATATGCCAGGCCCTGACCCAGGGGCTGCTGGTGGACCAGCTGGACGGGAGCAACCTGATCATGGTCGAGTACCAGTTCCGGCGGCTCCAGACGATAGAGTTCGGCCACTCGGAGCGGGCGAGGGAGGCGGAGTCGAAGAGCTACCAGGGGAAGATGTCGTTGGAGGAGCAGCGCGCGTTCGCGGGGACCACGAGGGCGTCGTCGACGCTCATGATCTGCCCGGAGCTGCTGGACTACGTCCGCACCGAGGTGGAGCGGGAGGCGAAGCTGGCCAAGAACCTGAGAGTTGCACGAGAAGAGCGGGAGGCCCTCCGCAAAGGGCCCAAGGAGAAATGACTCCTGACTCGCGCCGGCTGGGCCCTTCAGGGGCGGGGCCCAGCCGCCTGCCGAGCCCCAGGCCGCCCCCCGCTGGTGGCCGCAGTTTTGACGCGGGTGACGACCGACATGTTCCTCGCGATCTTTTTCCTCTGCCACGTCGGCCAGTCGGCGCCTTCTCCGGAGAGGCAGGTGCTGTTAGCCGGTCGGTGCGGCAGCGGGTTGGCGCGCGTGCTGCTGTGGAGCTGGACTGTGACCGAGCGGTGCGCAGCCTCAACGGGATGTTCTCGCATGCGCCGCAGCCGGCTCTTGGCCAGGGCGCGCCAGCCTGTGCTTTCGTCTCGCGCGCCCAGCGCGAGGCCATCGACTTCGTCGAGGAGTCGGTGCGGGCCCTGGGAGCGCCGCCCCCGGGGCTCACCCCCGCAGAGGCTCTTCGGAAGCTTCGCGTGGCGAGCTGGTACGACGTGGACTCTGCCAAGCTCGGATCCTACCGCCCCGACGCGATCTCACTGCCCTCTGGTACGGTTCGGCCGATTCCGCTGGAGACTCTGTGGGGGAGCGGCGGGAGTGACACCGTGAAGGATTTTATATCACAGAATTTGCTGTGCTCCGAGAGGGCGAAGCAGCGACTGCAGGGCGTGGGGCTGGAGCGGGCGTACTCTGACCCCGCCTTGCGGCGTCGGGGTGCTTATGAGGAATTCATTCGTATGTTGCAGGCGCGTGGCCTCGTCGATTTCGCCGAGTCTGGCATCGAGTCCGTCGAGGCCTTCTTCGTGGAGAAGAAGGACCAGAGGCTGCGCATGGTGATAGACTGCCGGAGGGCCAACGCTTGGTTCGCCGAGCCGGCCGGGGTGAGCCTGTGCACGGGCGATGCCCTTTCGAGGTTGGAGCTCGGCCTCAACGACGAGCTCCACATCCAGGGTGCCGACCTCAGCGACGCGTTCTACCACATGGGCTTGCCTGAGGAGCTCAGGGGGTACTTCTCCTTCCAGCCCGTGCGCGCCTCGGCGGTGGGCCTCAAGCTCCTCGGCGGGAAGCCACTCGGCCGGGGCGCTCTTGTCACGCCGCGGCTGGCCGTGCTGCCGATGGGGTGGAGTTGGGCGCTGTGGTGGTGCCAGCGCGTGCACGAGCGCACCAGCGTCGAGGCCGGCGCCTGTCCCGAGCTGCGGATCGCTGACCGCCGGCCGCCGCCGCCGATGACGCCGGGCGCCCACCTGGAGTACGTCGACAACTTCATTGCGATCGGCACCGACTCCGCGTGGGTGGCGGCGCTCGCGCGGCGCGTGTCGACGCTGCGCGCCCGCGGGCTCGAGGTGAAGGCCGAGGACCATGCTGGTGAGCTGCCTGGTGAGTCGGAGGCGCTGGGGTGGTGCATTGACCGAGGACGGTGCGTCGTGCGGCCCACGCGGGCCCGGCTGTGGCGTGCGCGCCTGGCCGTTCGAGGTGTCCTCGGCCGTGGCCGTCTTCGGGGACGCGACCTCGAGAAGCTCCTCGGGCATCTGGTATTTATATCTCTTATCAAGCGCGAGGGCATGTCCTTGTTCTGGAGCTGCTACGCCTTTGTCCGCAAGTGCTACGACAAGGAGACCGGACTGTGGCCGGCTGTGCGGCGTGAGCTGGAGTACTGGGACGGCATCGCACCCCTCTTGTGGCGCAGCCTCCGTTCGCCTTGGACTGACGAGCTCATCGTGGTCGACGCGAGCGAGTGGGGCATCGGGGCTTGCGCTGCCCCTGCCCCCGTCTCGCTGGTGCAGAGGCTGGGCCACGTCTCCGAGCGCTGGAGGTGGCACCATGGGCTGGCCGGCTCCGCGCCACGCCGGCACGCGGGGGCCGCGGCGGCCGCCGCCGCGCTGGCGGGCGACCCCGCCGACGCTGCGCCGTGGATGCTGGGAGCGGAGGCGGTCGCGGCCGCGGGCCTTCCTCCGCGGCATGCCGGCGGCGACGGGCTGGGGGGGGAGGATTCCGCCCTCCATAGTCACAACCCCCAGACCCAGGACCCAGGCCGCCGGCGCAGCCGAGGGGGCCGCCGAGAGCGGGTTCGACGAGGTGCCGCCGGACGTGATCGAGCTGCCCTGGCGCACCGTGGGGCGGCACCGCTGGCGCTGGCCGGAGGAGAGCATGCCGGTCGCCGAGGCGAGGGCCGTGCTGCACGGGCTCCAGCATCTCGTGAGGGCCTCGCGGCACCGCGGTCGGCGCGTCGTGGTGCTGGGCGACTCCTTGAGCGCGGCCGGGGCCGTGGATCGTTTCAGGAGCAGTTCTTGTAAAATGCTCCGAGTCACTCAGGCCATCGCCGCCGTCACCCTTGTCACCGCCACTACCCTCCACTACCGCTGGCTGCCCTCAGAGTGGAATGCAGCCGACAACCCCTCGCCCCCGACCTGCTTCCTCCATACCTTCCATGTAGAAGGTTCGGACGACAAAAGCGCAACGTAATGTCCCACTTTGTCCGTTTATGTCTTGTTTGTCTTCAAATGTCTTGATATGTCTTGCATGTCGTCAAATGTCTTGAAATGTCTTGTATTTGGGTTAAAACTCATCATCATCATCATCATCATCATCATCATCATCATCACCATCACCATCACCATCACCATTCACCACTCACCATTCACCATTAACCATTCACCATTCACCATTCACCATTCACCACTCACCATTCACCATTCACCATCATCAGCATCATCATCATCAGCAGCATCATCATCACCATGAACAATCATCGGTGACCATCACCATCATCGTCATCATCATCACCATCATGATAATGATGGTCATGATGGGCATGAGGATGATCAGGATGAACAGAATGAGAAGTTTGGCCCAAATCTTCACCATGCCAGCGTACCCGATCCCACGACCGTGGCACTTCCCATACTTTCGAGGCCAACCCCTTCCCCCATGGACGCCCCGTGGGTGGCACGTCCCGCCCGGCTCAACGGACACGTTTTTCATCATGGATACGATCAAGCTGGAAGGTCTGGTGTGGATCATTCCAGGCGGCGGCAGTTTGGAACTCTGCTACGAGGGCCCACCAGGCCTCTCGGAGATCACGTGCCTGGTCTTCAGGTGGGGCCATGCATGCGGCTACCCATGGCCGCCCAGGGCATACTTAAACGGTGGGCCGCGTCTCCCCTTAAGATCCGTGCGAGGGGTGCGCCGAAAGTTTGCATCTAGATCTCACCCCTTAATGCCCCAGGTGCCACGTGTACGAACGCATGGCCAGGACCCAGTACTTCATCTGCAGGTGAAGGTAGGGTGGCAAAAACAAAAATCAAACAAATCATCGTGGCCGCGACCGAACAGCTCCTCCACCTCCAGCTCCTCCTCCTCGTTCTTTTATGCTGCAACCCTCCCTTCTCCTCCCTCCTCCTTCCTCCTCCTTCTTCCTCATTCCTCCCTTCTCCCTCCTTTCACCCCTCACGTATCCTACTCATTCTGTTTTCTTCTCCATCCTCATTCCTCCACATCTCTTCCCCACTGCAGGTTCCCCCTGCTCCTCTCTCACCATTCATGCTCCTCCCTCCTCCTTCCTCCTCCACTTACCTGTCTTATCATTCCTCCTCCTCCTCCTCCTCGATCGGCTCGAACGGTTCCAGAGGCTGCCCTGCCCTCGTACCCCCGCAGGGGCTTCAGAGCTCTGCGATGGCGGACATCCAGGGCCGCATCTCCAAAGCGATCAGGGAGATCGCAGGCACGAAGACAGACGGCGAGACGATCTCGTGGAACACGCACGGGAGCAAACGCACAAGAGGGTTAGCTACATACTTGCTAGAGACAGGGCAATGGAGGCTCATACGCAGGCTCCAGGAGATCAGCCCGACCCTCCGGTTCGACATCGGAGACTTAGAGATTGGGATGTTCGGGGTGCCACGGGTTGAAACATACCCCAGGGGGAGGAGGAGGAAGAGGAGGAGGAGGAGGAGGAGGAGGAGGAGGAGGAGGAGGAGGAGGAGGAGGAGGAGGAAGGTGAAAATAGGCAGGAAAATTACCCCAGTGCGACCCTACCTAGAAGTTGGAGCCCCTAGGAAAGCAGCATTAGTTGCTATGCTACGCTATGCGATGCTATGCCATGCTATGGTGTGCTATGCTATGCTATGCCATGCTATGCTATGCTGCACTATGCTATGCTATGCTATGCTAAGCTATGCAATGTCATGCTGCGCTATGCTATGCTAAGCTACGCTATGCTATGCTATGCTATGCTGCGCTATGCTATACTATGCTATGTTATGCTATGATATGATTGGCTATGTTATGCTGCGCTATGCTATGCTATGCTATGCTATGATGTGCTCTCGGATGCTAAAGCTCAGCGAAGCTAAGACGAAGGTAAGCTCAGCTAAGATAAACATGAGCTAAGATGAAGCTAAGCTAAGCGAAGATGAAATAAGCTAAGCTAAGATGAGATAAGCAACGCTAAGCTAAGGGGACGTAACTGGGGGAACCGCGGGGCGGATACTGGGGGAACCGCCCGGGCCAGTTCCCACTGCCCGGCCCTTTAAGCCAAGAGAGTAAGAACCCTTCTAGGCAGAGCCCAGGTAGGGAATTAGGAAGAGGAATACGCCAATCAAATGCAGGGACTCGGGTGCCCCGCCGAGAAGGCCTGCGAGCAGGCGAAGAGGCTCTTGGATCTGCTCAGCGCGTGGAGGCGCATCGAGAGGTGGGGTCGCTTTCAAACGGGCCGCCCGCATCAGACGACCTTATCCTTTACCTCGTCTTCTCCTGCTCCTCCTCCTCCTCCCCCTTGCCCTTGCCCTGTTATACCCCCCATCCTCCTCCCCCGCCTCCCAGTTTATCCTCGACGTCGCCCAGGGGGTCTGATGCGGCCCCCATTTGAAAGCAGCACCGCCCTCAAGGGAAGAGTACGAAGTGCCCAAGGAGCTCACCAAACTCATGTCGAAGCCGCTGCCCCCGATAGCGATGCCGACACCACAGCAGCAGCGTGCAGACACTCAGAGAAGAATGGGCCGCATGATGATGGAGAGCTCAGACGACGAGGCGGTGACATCTGACATTGGCAAGGGCAAGGGCGGCCGCAGCAGCAAGGGCATGGCCAGCAGCAAGGGCAAGGGCAAGGGCACAATCGTCGCGCAGTTGCAGGACGCCACCAGCAGCAGCAACGCATCGCAAGCACAGCCCTTGCAGGACGGCAGCCCAGACACCAGCGGGGGCAAGAGCCGCGAGGCCGAGGGCGAGGAGAGCGAGGACGCTCCTCTCCTCCATCCTCTTCGTCTCATTGTCATCTCCTCTTCCTCTTCATATCCTCCATGCTTTCCTCCATCCTTCCTCATGTCCTTCACCGCCCTCTTCTCTTAATATCCGCTTCTTCTTTCCTCTGCCGGTCTTCTTCCTCTCTCTACCCCATCCTCCTTCCATCACTGCCCTTCGTCTTAATATTCATCTCCTCCATCCCCCTCTTCCTCCTCCCCCATCTCTCCTCCATCCGCCCCAGGACGAGGGCAGCAGCATCGAGGATAGCGAGTCCGAAGACGCCTTCGACCCTGACGACATTGCCTTGAGTGAGTCCGACCACGAGGTCAATGTAGATGCGAAGAAGCCGCACACCGATTTCACGATGAAGCAGAACTGGGCCCACCGCAACGTGGATGACCAACCCGCGGACGGAGCCGTGCCGTCCAAGACGGGCTACGCGATCTTCACATGGAAGGACGGTGACAGGTGGTGCCCAACGCCGAGGGTCACGATGGAGCAGATCGGCTACGCCAAGAAGGTAGAGAAGCGGGTCGAGGCCAAGGGCAGTGACGCGCAGGGCTCCAATGGCAAGAAGAAGACGAGGGACGACTCACCTGCCACGGGCCAGGACGCGAAGTCGCCAGGCAGTATCAGTGCTGGGGGCAAGAGCCTTGGCAAGGGAAAGAGCAAGGGCAAGAAGGGCAAGGGCATGGACGACGTCAAGGTGGACAGCAAGAAGGGCAGGTCCAAGGGCAAGAGCAGCAAGGACGTCAGCGACAAGCAGGTGGGCAGCACGAAGGGCGCGTCCAAGGGCAAGGGCAACAAGGTCAAAGGCGTGCAGGTCGAGCAGGACAAGCGCACGATGCAGTCGATCATTTCGGCGGTGCGGCCCATGTGCGAGAAGTACGAGGGCTTCTACGCGGGACGGGTGCACAAAAGTAGTTCGCAATCGTTGAGGTCCTTGGAGGCGTTGTAGGCTTCCCCCGTCATCCAATCCTCCCCTGTCTCTGGGTGTCCCTCGGTGTCCCTGGATGTCCCTGGGTGTCCCTCGGTGTCCCTGGGTGTCCCTCGGTGTCCCTGGGTGTCCTTCGGTGTCCCTAGGTGTCCCTCGGTGTCCCTGGGTGTCCCTGGAGATACCTGGGGGCATCCAAGGGCGCCCGCAGACATCCAGAGACATAATGTTCCCCAGGGGCCTCGACGAGTTAGATTTACTTTTGAACATCCTTGCCCCTAGGTGGGCATCAACCTGCGCCCCAAGCTGGCCAACGGAGGCTGGGAGGTCTTCATCAAGGACCGCAGTGGGCAGAGGTTCCAGCGGACGAGCAGACAAAGCGAGATCGGTGGCGAAGAAGGCCTACGTGCTACTGTGACCGAGGCGAACAACATGATGATCAAGATGGCCGACGCTGAGAAGGCTGCAGCAGAGATGTCGAAGAAGCGCGACACGTCGAAGGAGAATGGCAAGCCGATCGAGAAGCCCGAGGAGAACCCCGAGGAGAAGCCCGAGGAGAAGCCCGAGGAGAAGCCCGAGGAGGCTGACGAGATCATCGAGGAGGTCGAGGAGGACCGCGAGACCGTGGTGGGCTCCCAGCCGAACGACGGCGTTGAGGACAGGTGAAGCGTTAAACAGATAATCCTATCCTCCTCCTCCTCCTCCTCCTCCTCCTCCTCCTCCTCATCATCATCGTCATCATCATCATCATCATCATCATCATCAGCATCATCATCCTATCCTTCTCCCCCTCTAATCCTCCTCCTCCTTCTCCTCCTTGTCCTCCTCCTCTTCCTCTTCCTCATCCTCATATCCTCCTCCTCCTCCTCCTCCTCCTCCTCCTCCTCCTCATCATCATCATCATCCCATCCACCTCCTCCTCTTTTCCCTCGCATTACTCCCCCCCGTCCTCCGAAAGGACCTCCCGGAGTTCGGCGAGGAGAGGGGGCCCGGAGAAGGCGACGAGGACGAGCCCGACCGCAAGCGCCTCCGCACGGAGGACTGAGACTATGCTAGAGAGCTGCACGCGTTGAAAGGAGGAGGGAGGGGAGGGTGGAGGGTGGATATAGAGGGAGGGGGAGGGTGGAGGGCGACAGGGGGCAGGGGAGTGGGGGGGGAGGGATGGATGGAGGGTAGAGGATGGATAGAGGGAGGGTGGCGGGTGGATGGAGGGAGGTAGTACAAGAGCGGTAGGAGGGTGAGGAGTGTGGATGGAGGTTGGAGGGTAGGGGGAGGGTAGAGGGAGAGAGCGGTAGTAGATGGAGGGAGGGAGGGAGGGAGTGAGGAGGGATGACACGACTCCGCAAGGCGCGCAGCTCTCTAGTCAGAGACGAGTCTCGCCGGGGAGAGCTCGCCGGGGCCGAAGGAGTATTGCGCACAGCGCGCGTACTCGTGGGGCGGCCACGGCGACAATTTCAGTGAAGAAAAACACGAATCTAGCCCACTCTGTGCCTGGGTTGCGGGTCACTGTGCCTGGGATGGGGTTAAGACAGGAGGATGCCCACCCCATCAATGTGCCTGGAGTGTGGGTCACTGTGCCTGGGTTGTGGATCACTGCGCCTGGGTTGTGGGTCACTGTGCCTGGGTTGTGGGTCACTGTGTCTGGGTTGTGGGTCACTGTGCCTGGGTTGAGGGTCAGTAAGACAGGAGGAAGCCAACCCTATGTGCCTGGTGTGTGGGTCACTGTGCCTGGGTTGTGGATTACTGCGCCTGGGTTGTGGGTCACTGTGCCTGGGTTGTGGGTCGCTGTGCCTGGGTTGTGGGTCACTGTGCCTGAGTCGAGGGTCAGTAAGACAGGAGGAAGCCCATCCCGTCACTGTGCCTGGAGTGTGGGTCACTGTGCCTGGGTTGTGGATCACAGTGCCTGGGTTGTGGGAGGAAGCCCATGTGGGTCACTGTGCCTGGGTTGTGGGTCACTGTGCACTGTGCGCCTGGGTTGTGGGTCACAATGCCTGGACTGCGGGTCAGAGGCTTGATGAAAGCCTCCTGGGATATCCCAGGCGCGTCACCCCTGCAACGCAGCGCTTGGGCTCAATGAGGTGTCCTAAATTCAGATTTGCCACCGACTGCAGCGGATGCGATGCCCCAACTTTCGCCTTGAAGCAAACGTCGTTCGTCAAGGACAAGCGCATACGTTTGCGGCAGCGGTGGGCCTCGGACATAAGCGATGTCTAGTGGCCTTCGGCAAAGCCCGCCAGCCTGCCTGGAGCGAAGGGCGTCTTGAGGGCCTTTTGGGGCCTGTTCGGCTCCCATCAGGGGCCCCCTGGGGCCTTTCGGAGCCCTCTTGGGCCGCCCCAGAGCCCCTTCGGACGTCGTCGAGCCCTCAGGGGCCGATCGTGAAAGCCTCTTAGGCCGTCTGGGAGCGCTGAAAATCCGTAGCCTCGGGCCTCTTGGGAATCAGTGGAGCCCCATGTGGCCGTCTTGGGGGCCTCTTAGACTGTCTTGAGGTTGTTTTGGGGCATTTCGTCACAGGTCGTTTTGTTTTGGGGCACTCCTGTCAACGCCTTGCTGGCATGGCCGTGGATTTGTCGTCGTTTCATCTGTGCCAACCATCGGCCAAAATTTTTATTCAGCGACATGGCCAAGCGGGACAATAGAGAGTTGAACTTGCATAGGAAGCCTCTAGATTGTCTCATTCTTGGTTTTCCCTGCCAGCCATTTTCGGCACTGGGACTGAAGCGAGGCTGGAAAGACAAGCGGAAATCGAAGCCATACAAAGCATTTACAGACCTGTTAAAGGAGTATCCAGGTTGCATAAAGTCTGTGCTCATTGAGAATGTGAAAGGACTGGTGACTCACGACAAAGGCAGATCGTTGATGCGCGTGCTGACAGATTTAGGTTGTTTAGGATTTAAAGTACGGTGGCGGATGTATTCGTCGAGCGACTTCGGTTTGCCCCAGAGACGTCAGCGGGTGTGGATTCTCGGAATTCACAATAGTGTCGCAGCGATGCCTAAACTCCCTCGCCCACCATGCCCAGATGTGCCGCCCATAGGTGATTTTTTATCAGACGACAGAGGCCCTCATGGAGCGCTGCCGACCGTGGAGCCCGGCACCCATGCAGCGTGTAATTTAAAATACGTTCTTAGACGCCTCAAGAAGCTTGGGCACGACCCTGACACAGAGGATTGGGTCATAGATGTCGAGTCGAAGGCTTGCGCCGCATCCGCTGGGACTCCTTCGGCCCCTTGTGTATTTTCGGGCCCATTGCATGCCCGCAGCGCGGGGCAGCACACCATTTTCTGCTTGGTGGCGTGGCCACAGACTGCGCCGGCGGATTCTTCGCGGCGATATGTCACAGGATATAAGGACTTCTCTCCCACGCTGACACGCTCGCGAGGGGCAGGATTCTGGGTCACGTCCCGGCGCAGGCGTTTAACGGCAGCAGAGCAATTTGCAATTCAAGGTTTTTCGCCCGAAGGGATCGTTGCAGTGGGATCCCCCCTCCAAATGGGGCAACTAGCAGGCAACGCTATGTCCCTGCCAGTTCTCACTCACATTTTTGAATCTCTTATACCAGAATTGTCCAGGAGGCTCTTGCTGTGCCCGACGACCCCAGCTTCATTTCCACTTAAGTTGTTCAAGCGGGGTCTCAAGCGCACATCTAGCATGTCCCCTCAGAGGGGCCAGGCGGAGTACCCGAGGTAGATACAGGCTCCTCGGAAACATAATGCTGTGCTGCCGCCGCAGTGGCTCTGTACTCCTTTGCGCCAGTGCGGCAGGCTTATGGACCTGCTGACCCAGGCAAAATCCAGACAGCTGGGGTGGTCTTGGGGGGTCGTTTAGTTTGACTTGCACGGGAGGGCACGTTGCAGCATCAGTGATGTGTACTGCGTTTGTTCCTGCTGAAAGGTCGGGGAGCCTCACGGTGCACCAAATGCCCCAAGTCTTGGTGTCGCTACGTGTCCCAAAGTGTCTTCGCATGTCCTTGGATGTCTCGTGGTAATGCTATGTGTCCCGCGGTGTCTTCGAATGTCCCTGGATGTCTCGTCGTGACGCTACGTGTCCCGCGGTGTCTTCGAATGTCCCTGGATGTCTTCGTGTCGCTACGTGTCCCGCGGTGTCTTCGAATGTCCCTGGATGTCTCTTGGTGTCGCTCGGTGTCCTGTGGAATCTCCGCATGTCCCTGAATGTCTCTTGGTGTCTCTACGTGTCCCGCGTTGTCTTCGAATGTCCCTGGATGTCTCTTCGTGTCGCTACGTGTCCCGCGGTGTCTTCGAATGTCCCTCGCTACGTGTCCCACTGTGTCTTCGCATGTCCCTGGATGTCGCTTGGTGTCGCTGCGTGTCCCACGGTGTCTCCGAATGTCCCTGGATGTCTCCTGGTGTCGCTACATGTCCCACGGTGTCTTTGCATGTCCCTGGATTGGATGTCCCTTGGTGTCGATGTATGTCCCACGGTGTCTCCCAATGTCCCTGGATGTTTCCTGGTGTCGCTATATGTCCCACGGTGTCTTCGAGTGTCCCTGGAGGTCTCCTGGTATCGCTATGTCCCACGGTGTCTCCCAATGTCCCTGAATGCCTCTTGGTGTCGCTACGTGCCCCGCGGTGTCTTCGAATGGTCTCTTGGTGTCACTACGTGTCCCGCGGTGTCTTCGCAGGGCCCTGATTGTCCCTGCGTGTCTTTCGATATCGATTGATGGCTACCTACTGTTTGCGAGCCCCGCAGATCTCATACCCCACGCAATTATCAGTGTGTCCTCGTCCTCCTCGTTGTTCCTCGTCCTTGCCTCCTCCTCCTCCTCCTCCTCCTCCTCCTCCTCCTCCTCCTCCTCCCTCCCTCCCCCGGGAGGCCTCCAGGGTGGGAGCGAGCGGGAAGCGGCGCAGCGCGCGGCGCCCGCGGCCCCCGCGACCGCCCCGCCGCCGCCCTCGCCCCGCCCCGCCGCCCCGCCGCCCCGCCGCCCCGGGGGGCCGCGCAGAGGAGCAAGAGGAAAGAGAATAGGAAAGAGCAAGAGGGCGAGGAGAAAGAGGAAGAGGAAGAGGATATGAACAGGATGAGGAGGAGGAGCATGAAGAGGAGAAAGGAGGGCGAGGAAGAGGAAGAGGGACAGGAAGAGGAAGAGGATGGCAAAACGCCAATCTCATGATCGTGAGTGAAGCGCAGAGGGGCCCGTGGCGGAGGGTGGTCCCGTCGGGCCCTGCCACCGAAACCTACGAAATTCTTGACGCTTCGCGTATCCCCACAAGCCCATCCAGAAACGATCAGCAGGGGCGTTGGTAAATCAGGGGCTTGGAAGTTTAGGATGGAAATCGGTGCAAACTACGATGGTGCTTCGATGAAGGGTGAGGGGTGGTTCGATGACTCGCAATGGCTGTTGCACTGATGTGTCTATCAAACTCGCGTGCGTTTCGAAACTTTGAGCCATCTTGAGGCTCTCTTGGGGTTATCGTGGGGCCCTCTTGGGGCCCTCCTGGAGCTCGTCCTTGGGGCTCTCCTGAGGTCCTCCTAGGGTCTTCTTGGAGCCCCCTTGGGGCTCATTTGGGGCGTCTTGGGGCCCTCTTGGGGCTCTTTGGGGGGGGGGGGGGGGGATGCCTCTTGGGCCGCATTGATCAAAACGATGGGGGGTCTCAATTCCCAACGCCCCCTCGGCCGCGGAGGCTAAAAAATGCCGCCTTGGGGCCCTCTTAGGCCGCTCTTGGAGCGCCCTTGGGCGCTCTTGGGGCTGCCTTGGGGCCCTCGTGGGCCCTTTGTCGGGGCTATCTTGAGTCGTCTTGGGGCCATCTTGAGGCCCGAGAACCCACAGGCGAAACAACGAGAAGGCAAATAACAGTGAATTTCTGTTGGTGTTTTGAAGAGTTGGGCCGCTTGGGAGGGTCCTTGGAGGCCTTGGAGGGCACTTGAAGCCGTCTTGGGACCGTCTTGACGCCTCTTGGACTTGTCGGAAGCTAACTTGACCCGTCTACCGCAATCAACCTTCGACCATCTTGGAGGCCACCTTGCGCTATCTGAAGCCCTCTTGGAGCCATCTTGGACATCGCGGGGGAGCCAGTCCAGACGCAGGGAGGGGGGGAGGTAACCCCCCCGAGCAGGGAAAAGCGCATTCAACCACAAACACAAACGCGCACGCACGTCCCGTCGGGCCCTGCCCCCGAAATCTCGGACATACTCGCGCATTCAATCACAAACACAAGCGCGCACGCACGCACGCACGAGCACAGCGGACTGCGACAACCGAGCACGTGCATATATGCTGGCGGGATGCGGCAAACGTAATCCACGCACCCTGCGCGCCAGCGGGCCGCGACAACCGAGCGGGCGGAAGGCAAGCGGCCTGGGGCGCTGACATCGTCGGCATTGTCGTCGTTCGTCGTCATCGTCGCGGCCCATTCTCTCGCAAAGATCCGCGGACGTCGATTGAAGCTGACAAATCCCAAATTCGGCCACGCGATGCCTAAACAAATTAGCGCGGCGAAGGACC